ATTTTTCTGCCATCAAGTGGGAAACCAGATATTGTAGGCCGCCAGCCCTGAATTGGGTAGGATGCTGGATTACTTGGAAAGCAATATATTAACAGTGGATTTGTTGGACAGAGATGAATTCTTCATTCTGTTGCAGGCTTAGTGAGTACCAAATGTTGTCTCCAGCCCTGCAATATATGATCTGAACAACTATTGGCCCGATCCAGTTTGTTTTTCCAGCCTCCATAGTTGTTGTTCCATAAATCATAAGGGGTCCTTGAATTTTGTTTGTTCAGTAGTATCCTGCTCAAACTAGCATTACTTTTCTTGTTAGAAGGGCTTTCAGTCAAGTCTTGAGAGTTGAGACAGTCCTGGCCGTTTCATTCTTGTACAGCTGCAGCCTGTTCGTTTCGGCCGAAACGATCGTGGATTATATGCCAGAAGTACTGCTGGCTGGTTTGGTGTAAGAGAAAAATACTGTTCTAGCTTATAATCCACGATCGTATACAATCGTATAAGCCCAGCCGAACAGGCTGCTGGACTGCTGGAGTACCATCTGTAGGAATAGGAAGCTAAAATAGCACGACTAGGCACGCGGCACGCATCGGGTGGTTTCTTGTCTTTGTTTGTATACTAGTACCATCTGCTGGTGTAGTTTGCAGTGAACTTGCCTCTGTCAGGATGGCTGCAATCATGCCAATCCAGCTTGCAGTTTTTTTATCCACTTCTGTAAATAGCGTTAGCTTGACTGCTTGTGGTCACAGCATGTATACTGCATAGCCACAAGGCTTCAGTGGAGGCTAGCAACCAAAGACATGCTGTTGAACATCTAGTATCTCCATTTTCACCTCTATGTTAGAGCATCTCCAGCAATGACCCCCTACTCTATATTTGGTTAGTGGGTGTAAAAAAACCCAGCTCCAACAGACCCCTTGCTACACCCCTATTTTAGTAGGCCCCCTGCTTTCTCCTCGAAACTCCCTACTTCTGTTGGCCTCCCTACTCCTCTCCCCCTACCTTTTCTCTCTCTCATGACTGCATCGACGCTCTTCTTCCCCGCGACGACCGAGCCCGACGCGGCTTCGCCCTCCCCGGCGCGGGCTCCGTGGCGGCCTTGCCCCGGCGGATCGGCCCTTCCCAGCGCGGCTTGCCCCGGCGGATCGGCCCTCCTCGGCGCGGCCTGCCCCGGTGGCGGCACCCTCCCCGGCGCGGGCATGGGCCGGCCTTCCCGGCGGCGCTCCCAGCGTGGATTCACGGCGCGGCAGCCCTTCCCCGACGCCGATGGCTCCCCGGCGCAGCAGTCCTACCCGACGACGGTGGCTCCAGCCCTGCCCCCGACGCGACTCTGGCAAGCCCGCCCTGGCGCGACCTACTTCGGTGAGCCTGCCCTGGCGCCACCTGGTCTTTGCTCTGGGCGTCAATGGGAAGAAGAAGATGAGAGACGATGATGGTCAGTCCCACATGTCATCCTCTGCAAGGATGGATTTGGGGTCTATTTTAGGTAATGTTGCTGGAGTAAACCATAAAATGAGTAGTATGAAAATTAGTATAGCTACCTAAACAGAGAAGTAGGGGGTGTGTTCTAATTGGAGATGCTCTAACCGTGCTTGTGTGACTGTTTCCCTATGTTGTTGGGCGTGGTGTCGCTACTTGCAGGTTGCTTCCCCGTGACTCCTTGGCCAGCAGTATCACTGCGGCTGTCAAGTGTGGACCAGGCTTTGCAAGAATGTTGGAGCATTTGGAACTTGGAAGATCACCACTGATGTATGGGCGCAGATTCTCTAACTTGAAGAACAAAAGTCACCGGTGACTTCTCCTCGTCCCGATTCCATTCATTCCTCATCCAACGGTTCTCTTTCACAAAGGTTTCAAGAATCAATTAGCTCAGCCCATTTGACAGCCCAAACAAAGGCCCAGCTCGCGAGAAGTGGAATCGGTTGACTACAGGCGCGCTGTATTTTTGGCGGGTAAATAAGCAGTGACGGCACATTTTTGGCGCCAAATTTTGTTTCGCCCGGCGGATGGCAAGCGCCGCCGATGGCGGCTAGACACAGTCATCTCGTCAACAGGGAGCAGCGAGCGCGTGTTGCCGATCTGGTACGTGTGATAGCTGCTGCTGCTGCTGTTGCGCGTGGACGACAGCAGCAACGTCGTCGTCGCGAAATTCTGGCCTGGGCAGAGGTCTGTCGTTGGAGCTCGCCATCTTCCTTCACGTGATCTTGCTTTTCTACAGGTAGCCAAAATCAATCTTTCATCTTTCAGGCTTATTTTTTTGTAAGCCAAAAATTTAGACCTGCTTGTTTTTGTGTAGTACTCGTTGATTCAGACCTTGCTTACAGGTAACCAAAATCAACCTTTTCTCTTTCAGTCTTCCGATTCAGACATGGCAAAACCAAACAAGTAAGTTAGGTTTACCTTTTAATTTATTTTTCTTTGTTTGCATCCAGACGTGCCTTGCAATAAGGACTTGTTTGGCCGGGCTCCCGGCAGCTCCTGCTCCGGCTGACACCCTGTGACGAACACTGCAGCATCACTGTAGCAGCAGAGCTGTTTTTCTCCCCACCTTTTTCCTCTCACTGTAGTGCGGTTACTGTTCACGGAGCCAGTGAAGCTCGAATTTCGGGCTCCTCCGGCTCGGGTTCTGACAACAGTGTGGGAGCCGAAGCCTCTTGGAGCCATACCAAACAGATCCTAAATATACATTTATTTTTCATGTAGGGAGAATGTGAATCCTAGGTCTTGTTTAGATTGCAAGTTTTTTGAACCCAAATTTTTTCATCCAAAATGGTTCAAAATCTGACATCCAAAGGGGTGGAAAACTTTTCATAGCACTGTTTGCCCTGCTAAAGCATTAATGGACTAAAAGACACAAGTGGCACTATTAAATGCATTTGGATGGATGCTCGCTGCCAGGCTCATCCTTGCATGCGCATGCATGCAAATCCATGCATGCTGCATACTGCCTGCTCTTCCTTGCATGCTCTCGCATGCAAATCCATACATGCAGCCACAAAGGCCTCCATTGTCCTAGGCACAATGCAGTAGGGGAAACCCAAAATTATTACAACATTTAAATATTATTATAGTCCGAAAATCATTTTACAGTCCGAAAATATTACAATGCATGTACCCAAATATTACAGTCCTCAAGCAACATTATTACAAGTCCAAGCCGCAATCAAACAATTACAACTCACAAGTTCTGAAATATACACATGTATCAATATCTATTAAATAGCCTGTTCGCAATGCTGTCACGAAAGGCATTCATCTGTTCACGATCTGCGCTATCAGGGGCAGGCTCTGTTTCTGGCTGATCAAGATAGGCTTCAGCCGGCACAAAGTTAACATGATGATCTAGGTGCTGGAAGTCCACATCAAATTGCCTACTCAACCTTATGAAGTTATGCAAAGCAACACAAGCAACTATAATCTGCGTTTGTGTTTGAGGAGGATAGGCAGGGATACTCAACAATACGCGCCACTTCATCTTCAAGACGCCAAAGGCCCTTTCAATCACATTCCTAAGAGATGAGTATGCATAATTGAATATCTCCTGTTTACCTCGAGGTTCTCCGGCGTTTTGAAAGTCTTGAATATGGTACTTCGTTCCCTTGTAAGGAGCAAGGTACTCGGGACGGTTTGGGTAGCCGACATCCACCAAGTAAAACATCCCTACACCACCAAGTACCTGTAATTGTTAAATGTTTCAATTAGAAATGTCAAATGTACTACCACCTAGTTGTCTACCTTCAGGTGGATGAGGGAAGTCATCCTTGAATGTTGTCATGGCATCCTTGAACACTCTTGTGTCATGGGCAGACCCCGGCCATCCCGCAAGGAGAAAAGTAAAAATCATGTCAAAGTCGCAATACCATCACATTACGAGTTGTGATGCCCTTGCGACACTACAAGTCTCGCACTAAACTTATCTTGTGGTACCAAAGCAGGGAAGTGGGCGCCATCTATAGCTCCTATGCACCTCTTGAATTCAGGATAGAACCGTCGGTTCCTCACCCTAGGATGCATTGTACTAAATTGGGTCCATGTGTTTAATGATATCATTCCCAAGTGCAACAACACAGGGCAGCACTCTATAGAACATGTTGTGGACTGTGGCTAGTGACCTCTCAAATCTATCATCAGCTTGCCTATATGATTGTGGAGCACCAACCATCCAAAGGAACATACCTAAAGCCTTAGTTGAGGTGGACTTTTTGTGTCTTTGAGGTCATACTCATCAGTCAATACCTTGCAGATCTATAGAACATATATCGGGGTGATTCTAAACATGTTGTAACAAGCGATTTCATTTTGCTAGTTTATGTTCTACCCAGTCCAGCCCAGTCATCTTTGGCACCCTATAGTATGCCCTATTGTAGTACTTTTGCATGTGCATGGCATACTGGGACATACCATATACGATTGTAGTTTCTTCTTCGATGTCATCAAAGAATAAGCTGAAGAAGTCCTCCTCCCCTCTGTTCATCATCATCGTCATTGTCATCCTCATAAACAATAGAGCAAGGCGGGTTGAGCAGCCCCCGCACACATGAAACAAACAAATGAACATAAATCAGTTCTAATTCCCGAGGAACAACATACACACAGCAGGCGAAGTACCTCAAATCCAACAAAGACCGACTCCGAAACAAAGCAGTATGGCTAAATTCAGACATCCTGGTTTAACATCACAAATCACTTAGTTCTTTGCCGACAAGTTCGACAACACAACATACAAATGATGTAGACGTAGTTCAACTAACATGCATCACAGACTTAGTACACGAGGTTCATGACACAAACACATGACAAATGCATTATTAAGAGGGTCTAGTTAACGACCCCGCATAGTGCTTAATGATGGCCATCTTTCTTTTGCTTCCGACTTGATAAACATTCTCATAGCGACTTCGTTTTGGGTGATCATGAGGACACCAATCCACCGCCTCTCATTTTCCTCTGTTGCCCCTACCTCTTTAGCCACCATCAGTATCACTTGGTCAATGGTGTCCATTTTGTCATTCTTCTTCTTCTTCTCTGACTTGATTCCTCTCATGCCAAATCTTCTTGGTAGCTTCATCCTGTTGTCCAGATTGACGGTCAAGTTCCTTATGCCTTCGTTCATCCTCCTTCTTTGGACTCCGCCCTCTTGTCGGGACTAGCAAGCGATCTTTGTGAGTCTTTGGTCTGCTGTAGCTTCTCTTGCTCCCAATGCTCGAGGGGTATGGACGTCTTTCATCATCATCGCTCACATACATGCATTCCTGCATGGCTAGGAGCATAAGTGGTTTCCCCACATCCTTCGCTACGCCAAGGAACATGCGCTCCAAAAGGTCCATGTAGTCAGGCAGTGTACCCTTAAGCTTGTTGTCCTGCAAAACAAGAATTACAAAAGAACTTGTTTAGAACACATGATTACAACACAGAATTAGGTAAGAAAAACATGATTACAAAACAGAATTAGGTTGTACCTTGTCGTTGGTTTTCCACCATTCAGCTGAAGCACTGATGGAGCCATCTGCATTGCGCCCCAAGCCTGTCTCCTTGTGATAGAGCTTCCATAGATCATTCCATTCCTTCTTCAGCTGGCGGACCCTACTCCCAAAGATGATGTTGTCATGAACTAATTCTGTCGCTTTGAAGTAACCCTCTGTCAGATTTTTCCAACCCCACTTCGACATCTGACCCCTAGGGCAGTTTCCCTTGTCAATCTCATCAACGTAGAGCTGACAGAAAGTCCGGGTGTTTTGAGGACTCCACTGGGCTCTGCTAAGGGTACTCTGAAATGATGCATAAAGAAAAAACAACACATGTCATAGGTAAACAATATGCCTAAACAAGGACATGACGTAGGTAAACAATATGCCTATACAAGGACAGCAATGCATGCAAAGCATGCATAAACAGCTCGCATAAACAGCATGCACAAGCACAGCACAGCACAGCAATCTACTTGTACTAGCACAAGCACTGCATAGCACAGCAATCTACTTGTACTAGCACAAGCACTGCATAGCACAACAATCTACCATGTGAGCAGCACATAGCACAACAATCTACCATGTGAGCAGCACATAGCACAACAATCTACCATGTGAGCAGCACATAGCACAACAATCTATTTGTACTAGACCACAAGCACAACACAGCACAGCAATCCCATGGAGAAAGAAACTTTGTGTACCGGGACATTAGTCGGAGGGACGTCCTCATCGGCGGCGGTGGGCTGGACTAGGCTGCGACGCACACCGGGCCTCCTGGAACCACCAGCCGAGCCGCCTGCCTCATCACCATGAGGCCCCAGGGGAGGCACGCGGCGGCGAGGAGGTCGGAGGCCGAGGGAACCCCTGCCGGCGCGGGATGGCACGCGCACGGGAGGGGGGCCGTGAGCGCTGCCGCTGCCGCCGTCTTCAGCCGGGGACTAGAGGATCTCCTGGTAACGAGCCAAGCCCGGCCACGAATGGCTGGCGTTGAGGTCCAGCTCGCTGAACCCCAGGTGGCTAAGGGAGGGCGCGTTGCTGCCGAAGCCGTAGCCGAAGACGTCGTCGGAGTTGTTGCGGAAGCCGGTGTGGGCCCCAGATCCGACGTACGGTGGCGCCTGGGACAGGAAGTCCCTGGTTTCAGAGCCGTCTCCGTAGCCGGAAGCGTTGTCCAAGGAGCCGTCGTTGAAGTCGCCGTCTTCATTCGAGCCGCCGTGGTACCCGTCCATCGCTGACGAGGAGGTCAAGGACACCCGATCTGGACAAAGGGAAGGTGGATCTGGACGTAGGCGGGCTGGATCTAGTGGAGGACTGAGCGGCGGCGCGGGAGACCGAGAGTGGCGGCGACGGAAATGGAGAGCGGCGGCGGCGGAAATGGAGAGCGGCCTAGGGTTCGGGGGGAGAGGGAATGGATGGGGTGAGGGGCGCGGGGACGGGGTGGGCTGGATCAGGTGCTGGACTGAGCGGCGGCGGGGGAGACCGAGAGCGGCGGCGGCAGAAATGGAGAGCGGCGGCAGGGCGAGAGCGGCCTAGGGTTTCCCAGGGGAGAGGGAGTGGAGACGGACGCGCGAATGGGGCCGTGGTCAGGGTTATACTGGGGATGCACGCAGCCCGAGGCGATGATTGGGCCGAGCCAAATTTGCACCGTGCAGGCCGAAATTTTTTCCATCGGCCGTTTAGATTCCAAATTCCAAAAGTTAGTTTTTTTTGCAATTTGGGCTGCATCTAAACAAGGCCCTACCTGGTTACCTTGGATTGGTTAGAAATTCAGGAACTTGGAGGATGCTTGGTCTTTTTGGATTGATTATGGAGGTCATGCAGGTTTTGAGGTCAGGAAGAGGTACACAAATGTTGGTACTGATGGAAAGGCAACATCTTGTAGATATGTGTGTGCTAAGGAAGGTCGAAGAGCACATGACAAGAGGGATCATGCCACCAAAAATCCTCGAGCTAAAACAAGGGCATGTTGTCCAGTTCGGATGGGTCTAACATTAGATCGTGTGGCTGGAAATTATGAAGTATTTGATCTATTGCTTGGACACAATCATGTTCTTCACTTGCCGCAAACCGTTCATTTGATGACATCACAGAGGAAGATTTCAGAAGTATAGGCTTTTGAAATTGAGGCAGATGATGATTCTGGAATTAGGCCAAAAATGGCACATGAGTTGGCTTGTCGCCATGTTGGAGGACCCATAAATCTCAGTTACACTTGTCATGATCATAAAAATTACTTGCAGAGTCGGCGTCAAAGGGAGTTGGCTTATGGCCAGGCTGGAAGCATGTTGAAGTATTTTCAAGACAAGATCGCTGACAATCCTTCTTTCCACTATGCTTTGCAATTGGACAATGAAGAACAAATAACCAATATTTTCTGGGTAGATGCAAAGATGATAATTGATTATGCACACTTTGGAGATGTTGTCATCTTTGACACCACCTTTGGCACAAACAAAGAATATAGGCCATTTGGTGTTTTTGTTGGATTCAATCAGTTTAGAGAGACCATTGTTTTTGGAGCAGCAATTTTATTTGATGAAACATGTGCTTCTTTCACATGGTTATTTAAGGCCTTTCTAGCTGCACACAATGGAAAGGAACCCAGAACTATATTTACTGACCAAGACGCTGCAATGGGAAATGCAATTCGGGAGGTATTTGTAGATGCATGGCATGGGTTGTGTACTTTTCATATAATGCAGAATGCTGTCAAGCACTTGAGCAACAATAAAAATGATGAAAATGAAGAATCTCATATCCTCTTAGATTTCAGTGCTTGCATGTATAATATTGAGGACAAAGAGGCCTTTGAAGAAGCATTTGACAGCATGAGAAATAAGGTGGATAAGAATAAGTCATCATGGCCGGATAGCATCTACAAGTTTAAGGAGAAATGGGCTGAATGTTACATGAATGATGTTTTTACATTGGGAATGAGAAGCACACAATTAAGTGAGAGTTTCAATAGTGACTTGAAACAGCATCTGAAATCAGATTTTGACATCATTAGGTTCTTAAAGCACTTTGAAAGGGCAGTGCAAGGAAAAAGAAACAAGGAACTAGATGAAGAATTTGAAGCTAGGAAAAAGCTACCAAGAATAAGAATGAAGACACCTATGTTAGTGCAAGCAAGTAAACTTTACACCCCCAAATATTTGAAGCATTCCAAGCTGAGTATGAAAGATCCATGGCTGCATGCACTAGACCATTGCATGAAAATAACACATATGCTATTTCTATTGTGAGATCTGATGGTGATTTAAGTTCTGAACAAGAGCGCAAAGTTGTAGGTGATCCTTTGGAGCAAAAAGTTTCATGTAGCTGTAACCAATTTGAAAGGACAGGTGTATTGTGTTGCCATGGATTGAAAGTTCTTGACTTGATGAATATCAAACTATTGCCTGACCATTATGTGCTGAAGCGTTGGACAAGGGGAGCAAGGTATGAAACTGTACAAGATAATAAAGGAAGGAGCATCATCGAAGATCCAAAATTAGATGCAATGCTTCGATATAAGTATATGTCTCACAAGTTTCTAAATCTGGCATATCAAGCAGCAAGCTCTCCGGAGTGTTGCCTATTGGTAGATGATGCACTTGATTGTATTGGTAAGCAACTACAGGACAAAATTAGTGCACCTACAAGCATTTTGTCCGATTCATATAGTGTCCAACTCCAACCTGATGTTCAACAAGATGAAGATTTCCTTGGAGCTGCATGCCTAAGGAAAAAAGAGATTTAACCAAAAAGTTCAAAGCGGAAACGAAGTTGGATGGACAAGACACGAAAGTACAAGAAAAAGGTGCCAAATAAATCCAACGTATGTTGCTGAAACCCTTTCCAAAATAATGTTTCTATTCACTAGTACTTGCTAAATTTCAAGTTTGGATGATTTATGCAGCATGGAGAAAATAGTGCAGCTGTAGAAACACAAGTATCAATGGATGATGCTAGCAATGTCTTCACTGGCTACACCAATTTGTTGATGGTAGTTTCAATATTTGTCTTTTTCAACTTGTAGAATTAGTTTAAATATTAATTTTTTTTAACTTTTCCTCTGTGTTTCCAGGGACTTAGTAACATCGATGATTTCCTCTAGGACCCTAATCATTGCTGCAGGGGAAGGATATTTTGTTCTTTTGGGGTGAACGTGGTTAACACTTACGCAATTATTTGGCTAAACTGTGCAAATTGATGTGTCTTTGTAAAAGTGGCTGGGTTTATTTTGGAGCATGAGCGCTATGCAAAATATTTAAGTGAAATGGTTGTTAAATTTGCACTAAAAATAGTGTCCGTATATGTTTATGTATTGAATTAGCCGCTATTCTCGTTTTATTTGTCTCTCCCGTCAAGCTGGGCTTATTTCTCCAAATCTGGGCTTTGTTTGGGCCATAATCTTCTTGTGGGCTAACTGCTATATGTGGAAAGTAGTTCAGAGGAGCAGCAGCCGTTGGATGTAAATTGAGTGGCATCTGGAACGGCCAAAGTCACCTGTGACTTTTCTTAACCAAGTTAGAGAATCTGCGCCCCTGATGTATCAGCCAGATTGCCAGACCGGTTAAAGGACTGATTGTTCATCTGATGCTGCCGGCGGCCTGCCTCTGTCTGCCAGCTCAATGAGATGACATGATGTCTCAGCTGTGTAAACGTCTCTGCTGAATGAACATTACTTACTGGGCATGATGGTTACCCCATGATGGGATTCAGCATCAGAATAAAACCATTCTTGGTTGCACGTATGCGCCACGGGGGATTTATATAGTTAGAGTATTATATACTTTTCTGCGCTTGTTGATTGTGAAATCATTGAGGTTGGTTGGATGATCTGGCAGTTGCAGCACCTGGTGGACCTGGGTTAGTTAGAATTCAACGAGAACGTGGCAGGTCAGGAGAGGCAGCCGGTGGCGGCTGGCCAGCGAAACGCCGAACCCCCCCGCGGCTAATCCGCGCGCCGCCACGCGCCCCCTGGCGCCGGCATCAATTCATGCGTGCCCCCAGTCAAAGTCCGGCCACGAACTCCCGCGACGTGACCGACTGCGTTGGGGGGAGCTGGCCAACATTTCCTTCCTCTCGTTCCATCGTCGCCGCCAGCCATCCCGACGGAAACCGCCCTGCTGCTGCCGCCGGCGCCCGGCGGCTGCCTGACTGCCACACGGCCGCGTCTAGTACGCTAGGAAAGTCAGACGAGAAAGCGTGTTGGGGTTCTCTCTCAGCACCGGAACCGGAAGGAAACTGACCGCGAAACTGCACGCCTTCATATATACCGGAACAGGGGACCTCTTGTCGCCTTGGTGCTCGCGAGTCGCAACCAGCCCAACACCAGCAAGCAGCAACGCGGCGGACCGGCACCGGGTTGGTTCATCTGACATCCACGCCGCAGCCGGCCGGAGGAACTTCCGAGGAAGGGAGGCGATGTGCTGCTGCGACGGGGACTGCCGGCCGCTCGGGTGGCTCCTGGGTCTGCCCTTCGCGCTGCTCGCCGTCCTCGTCTCCTTCGTCGGCGCCATCATCTGGATCATCGGGTGCGTGCGTGCCCTGGCCTCGCAGCCTGGGTTCCTTCTTCTTCTTGGATCGATCGGCGCTGCCATTAAAGTAAATTGACTAACTTCGTCGCTGATGCTCTGCCGCGGATCATGCAGGCTGCCCATCTCGTGCATCTGCCCCTGCTGCCTCTGCGTGACGGTGCTGCTGGAGGTGGCCGTGGAGCTCGTCAAGGCGCCGCTCCATGTCATGACCTGGTTCACCTCCAAGATACCCTGCTGAGTGGCGATTCAGTTCATCCCAGTCCCTGCTGAGTGACGGATCATACGTTCTTGCTTTAGCCGGAGAGATGAAAATCGTTTCGTTTCGTCGTCGGTTGGTTCATCCTAGTACTTTGGGATCTGCGATTGTTTTTTCCACAGATTTGGTAACTGTGACCTTGTGATAAAGTACCAGTAGCACAAGTTCTTTGTTCTTGTTCTTGAATTGAATGCATGGAGTACCAATGCCCTGACTATGACGATCGGCACACACACTGACTTTGGTTACGGCTGCCTTCATGCACTGCCTTGCGCAAGTTTTTGCGTGTGTTGTTTCCCAGCCCAGGGAATCCGCAAGAAAATCCGTCTGAAATTGCGAGGTAACACGAGCGGAGCGGTTCCAGGCGGTCAGCCGGTTGCCTTCCACTTCCGCTTCCGCGGCGGCGGCGGCGGCGGGGTGCCGGGGACCAGGGTCCTTGTGCCGTTCT